AAAAATGTGTTTAATATGCAAATACTAACGTTTGGTTCTCACATCGACGTTTAAATTTTTTTGACTTGTAAATGAATTTAATTATTAATGTATAAATTCAAATCTGATGGATAAAATTTGTATTTATATCTCAAAAAAAAAAAGCATGAAGTATAAGATTGTTGCGTCCTGAAATATTCGTGGCGGTAGGAAAAAAAAGCTTGAAGTTTAAGATTGTTGCGTCCTGGAGTATTCGCGGCGGTAGAAAAATATATAGTTTAATGTCTTAGCATTATACGAAGATCCAACACACAAACAAATAAGGTATATAGAGAATGTAGCGTTCATAAGGGACACCAGAGTTTTTTACGTGAAAACCCTTGAAAAGAGGGAAAACCATGGGGCCTGACACAGTTTGAATGAATCAACTAGTATTTGCAGTCGATTACAAATGAGGCCCTTCCTTGGGAACTGTAGTAGTAGGGTGGTACTCCGGTAGAACTTCGGGCATCATAGGGTGACTAGGCAGAAGTATGTGCCTCAAGTGGTGGTCCAGTAGAAGTCTGGGCATCTGGTGGTGGTCTGGCAGAAGTCCGGGCGTCAGGTGTTGGTCTGGTAGAAGTCTAGACCTCATATAATGGTCCAGTAGAAGTCTGGGCCTCAGATGGTGGTCCCGTAGAAGTCCGTGCCTCAGGTGTTGGTCGCACAAAAGTTCAGGCCTCAAGTGGTGGTCCAACAGAAGTATCAGGTTGTGATCCCGCAGAAATCTGGGCCTCAAGTGGTGGTCCGGCAGAAGTCTGGGCCTCATGTGGTGGTCCAACAGAATGCCGGGCCTTAGGTGGTGGTCCGGCAGAAGTTCGTGCCTCAGGTGGTGGTCCGGCAGAAATTCGGGCCTCTGTTGGTGGTCCGGCAAAAGTTCGGGCCTCAGTTGGTGGTCTGGCAAAACTCAAGGCCTCGAGTAGTGGTCCGGCAGAAGTACGTGCATCAGTTGGTGGCCCGACGGAACTCAGGGCGTCAAGTGGTGGTCCAATGGAGCTCAGGGCCTCAAGTGGTGTTCCAGTGGAACTCCAAGCGGTGGTCGTGGAGGAGCGAGGAGGCAAGTGCGATCTCTGGTCTCTCTCTTGCTTAGAGCCCCCATTTTAAGTGGGAGGAGGAGTCTATTTATAAAATTCCTAGAGTGGCATGACCTGTAAATAGGTGGGAAATCAAGGGCATATGAGGAGTGGCTTGGATGGATGGCCGATGTTGAATCCCTTGATTGTAGACCGTTCGTCAGACATTTGAAGGCCTTAATGATATCGGAATTCAACTATCTTTTGCTCGTTGGATTCATTTCATCGAGCCGCTCAATTTGATTATAAGCATGTCACCTTTAAAAACCGTTTGGTAATCCAAATTGTGGTTAGAACCTTCCAACAACACTTCGGGTCCTTGATTTGGACTCATTTAGGCTTAGGTTAAGTCGAATTTGGTGTCGATGGATTCATAATTCTGAGACACTCAATTCGACTATAAGTTTGCTAAAATCAGAGTTTAGATGGTCCCGAATTTAATTTTTAAAGCTTCCAACTTGATTTTTCCTCGAGATTCGTGCTCGATCAAGAAATTTTTTTGATGATGTATCAAAGATGTTTATATAAGAATTTTTTATACCACAAGATAATAATAATCTTTGCTTTTTTATAGGCTATTTGGTTTGTGAAAAGGGAATATATAGTAAAGGGAATGCAATGTATTTGAAATATCTGAAATCATTTGAATGAGTGCAAAAGGAATACAGTAGATTTTTTTTTACTTGAAGTAAAATGTATGCAATGTAAAGTAAAATGGTGGTAGATACGATCAGTGATAGCTTCTACGGTCGGTGGCAATCAACGATTGTGCCGGTAGTGATGGTGACGACAACGACAAGAAGTAATGGTTGATGGCAACTAGTGACAAGGTAGTCAACCGATGGTAAAATTTTGAATCTTTTATATTTAATATACTTGATACATCATAAAAAAAAATTATCCTGATCGGGCACAAATCTCATGGAAAAATCAAGTTAAAATTTTCCAAAATTAAAATTGGGACCATCTGAACTCTGATTTTTAGCAAACTTATAGTTGAACTGAATGTCTCAAAATATGAACCCAACGACACCAAATTCGACTCAATCCAAGCCCAAATGGGTCCAAATCAAGGGCCCAAAGCACTGTTGGAAGGTTCGAACCACAATTTGGTTTACTAAACGGTTTCCAAATGTGACATGCTTATAGTCAAATCAAGTGGCTTGACAAGACAAATCTAACGAACCCAAGATCACTGAATTATGATATCACTAAGACATTCAAAACCCTAGCAAACGGTTCCCGATCAAGGGATTCAACATCAGCCGTCCATCAAAACCACTCCCCATTTAACCTTGATCTTCTTCTTATTTACAAGCCATGTCACTTTAGTAAATCTATAAATATACCCCTCCTCCTTCTTGAAAAGGGGCCCTAAGCAAGAGAGCAAGAGAGAGATCGGAGATCACTCTTTCCTCCTCACTCCTGCTCGACCACTGTTAGAGTTCCACCGGACCACCACTTGATGCCCGGAGTTCCGCTGGACCATCACCTAACGCCCGGAGTTCCCATGGCCACCAACTGAAGCCCGGAGTTTCGCCGGACCACCACCTGATGTCGGTGTTCCAGTTGACCACCACATGACATCTGGAGTTCCGTTCGACCATCACCTGACGCCGGAGTTCCATTGGATCACCACCTAACGCCCGGAGTTCCACCGGGCCACCACCTAAAGCCTGGTGTTCCGTTGGACCACCACCTGTCACCTAGAGTTTCGCCAGACCACCACCTGATGCCGGATTTTTGTTGGACCACCACCTAATGCTCGAAGTTCCACTAAACAACCACTTGACGCCTGTAGTTCCACTGAACCACCACTTGATGCCCGGACTCCCGTCGGACCACCGCCTTACGACAATGGTCTTTCTGACCCCTGTCTCCTGCGGACTACACTCCTTCCGACCTCTATTGCCTACTATGGTCCTTCCGACCTCCACCACCATACAACGATATTTTCGACCCCTGTCTCCTTTTGACCTCTGTCGCCTACTATGATCCTTCCAACCTCCACAGCCAAATAATGGTCTTTCTTACCCCTATCTCCTACCGACCATGGTCCTTCCGACCTTAGTCACCTACTACGGTCCTTCCGACCTCTTCGCTAGACAATGGTCTTTCTGACCCCCATCTCCTTCCGATTATGGTCCTTCCGACCCTATCGCCTACTACGGTTCTTCTGATCTCCACAACTAGACAACGATCTTTCTGACTCTTGTCTCCTACCGATTACAGTCCTTTCGATCTATGTCATCTCCTACAGTCATTCCAACCTCCATCGCCAAACAAAGGTCTTTCTGACCCTTGTCTCCTGCGGACTACGGTCCTTCTGACCTCGTCGCCTACTACGATCCTTTTGACCTCTACCGCTAGACAACGGTCTTTCTGACCATTGTCTCCTGCCGACTACGGTCCTTCCAACCTTTGTCGCCTGCTAACAATCATCCTACCTACTAAACAAATATATCAATACGATTCTTTCAATTTCTACCATGTAATGCATTCTATATGATGTATATATGTTATATCAAGTTAGGGCCTTCCCTCCAATGAAGGACCTCATTTGTAATCGACTACAAATAATACTGGATTCATTCAAACAGGACCAGGCCCCATGAAAATACAGGTTTCCACATTAAATCTCTAGTGTCTCTTATGAACGCTACAACCTCTACTTTATCTGATTTCGCATTGGATCTTCGTACAATGTTAAGACGTTAAACTTTATATTTCCCTACCGCCGCGGATATTCCAGGACGCAACAATACTTTACAAGTTTTTTTTTTTAACAAACCTAACAATATTGAGTCAAAATTTAGCTCACTAATTGTTTATGTTTATTTTCAAAATGTCATATTTCAAACTTCATGCACCTTTAATAGCAAATGCATAGCTCTATGTACATTTAGCTTCCTCTCCCTTTCTATATATGGCACTGAAAACTGAGTCCAATAAATTGGATATACATCAACTTAAAATTTTAAAATAATGTAACTCATATAATATGTTGGCTTAGCTATAGGGGTGTCAATTCGGCTCAACGGTTTGGGTTCAGGTCTAATCTGAAACTACCCGATACTATTTGACATAACTCGAACACAACCTGTTTTTGCCAACGGGCCAGAAAATGCAACCCCAACTTGACCCTCTGGGTTGCCAGGTCGGCACGACCCTACCCGTCGCTACTTCTTGTTTCCATTCAAAGCCGGCGATAAAGCAGCGGTGGCGGCGACAACAGTGGCAGTGGAGACTGATGAGATGGGAGTCACACGACTCGATGGCGACGTCTCGGGCAATGCACACGAAGAGACGCGAGTCCCGCTTGACGCGACTCGATGCATCGGGCAATGCTGAGTAGACGTGGTCAGGCCATTTTCGGGTTTCCTGGTCAGCCTGAACTTGACCCGATTTTTGAAATGGGTCGGTTTGTTGAATGTGTCCCGTTTCACAAACAGGTCGACCCAAACCTAGATTTTTTCAGTTTGGCTTCGAATTGGGTTTCGGGTCGTGTCAAAAAATGGCACCCCTACTTGCTGCTGGGAGCTTCAGCTATCAACCCAGAGGTTCCATGTTTGAAACTAACGTATATGATATGTTTATGAATTTGTCTTCATTGGCCTAACGTAAAAAAAAGAAAATTAAAAATAATAGATGTAAGTCAGTATTATTAATTTAATAGCTTAAACTTTTATTTACTTCTAATACTAAAAAAAAAAAAATTCAAGCGGGTTTCTCTATTCTAGAGGTATTGAAATCAAAGTAAAATATAAAAAAGATAAAAATAAAAAGGTAATTATTATAATTTGATATGTATTTATAATTTCTTTTACATTAATTTGATTTTAAAATTATGGATAAAATATTAATTTTTTATGAGTATGTCTCCTGTAAAGGGACGGATAAGCACGGAAGGAGAGGATGGAATGGCGGGAGGCAGCCCATTCAACGAAGCAGGAAGACTTAGCCGCAAGAAATACTAATTTAGTCTCCCGCTTCCTTCAGTGGATAAAACAGTAGCCTCCAAATTCCCGGCAAGAAGAATGTCTTCCCGCTGCCTCTTCCCTATAAATCCCTCACACCGCCCCGCCCCATTTCTTCGCCCACAGCAAAACCAAATTCCACTTGAACTCTCTCCTCCTCCCTCCTTCCTCTCCTCCTCTTCCATTCCTAGTAAAAGAAGCATAAGCAACAGCCATGTGCCAATTTGATAGCTCAGGAATTCATGGAGAACACGGCGGCAATCACCATACAGATCACGCAACCCTTTACATGCCCCTTGTTGATCACAAAACCGGGAGCAACGATGAACCCCCCGTTATTAATCCCCTTTCACCAACCAAACAGCTTTCCCTTACCTTGATCGAAGCAAAATCGATTCTTTCGATCGCCCTGCCCATGGTTCTCACCGGCCTCCTCCTCTACTCCCGTTCCTTAATCTCCATGCTCTTCCTCGGCCGCCTGGGTTCCCTGCCTCTCGCCGGCGGCTCCCTGGCCATCGGCTTCGCTAACATAACAGGATACTCTGTTCTCTCCGGCCTTGCCACCGGTATGGAACCTATCTGTGGTCAAGCCCACGGAGCTGGCCGCAATCACCTCCTTGGGCTCGCTCTCCGCCGCACCATCCTACTCCTCCTCTCCGCCTCCCTCCCCATCTCCCTGCTCTGGTTCTTCATGCGCCACATCCTCATCCTCTGCGGCCAACACCCTGATATCGCCGACGCTGCCCAAACCTTCATCCTCTTCTCCCTACCAGACCTCTTCCTACAATCCTTTCTTCATCCCCTCCGCGTCTACTTCCGCACACAATCCATCACCCTCCCCCTCACCGCCACCGCTGCAGCCACCGTCGCCCTTCATTTCCCCATCAATCACCTGTTGATAAACCACTTCCACCTCGGCGTCCCTGGCGTCGCCCTCGCCTCCGTCTTCACCAACTTGAATCTCGTCCTCCTTCTGATAGCCTACCTTCACTTCTCCGGCCTGCACCTCCGCACTGGAGGGCTTATCCCCTCCGATGGTGACGACACCTTCTCCCTCTCAGGCTGGCGGTCTCTCATCGCCCTCGCAGTCCCCAGCTGCATCTCCGTGTGCTTGGAATGGTGGTGGTATGAAATCATGGTTCTCCTCTGCGGTCTCCTCCTACGCCCCCAATCCACCGTCGCATCCATGGGCCTCCTCATACAAACAACCTCTTTAATCTACATTTTCCCCTCTTCTCTCAGCGCCGGAGTCTCCACCCGCGTCAGCAACGAGCTTGGTGCGAACAGACCCGATCGCGCCCGCCGAGCCGCTACCGTCGGATTAATCTGTGGTTCGTTGCTCGGCCTCACCGCACTCTCATTCTCCCTCTCCGTCCGCAATGTCTGGGCCAAGATTTTCACCTCTGACCCCGAGATCGTGAGCCTCACCTCGGCCGTGCTCCCTATTTTGGGCTTATGCGAGCTCGGAAACTGCCCGCAGACGACAGGCTGCGGCGTTCTACGAGGCAGCGCGCGCCCGCGCGCCGGCGCGAATATAAATCTCGGTTCTTTCTACGGAGTGGGGATGCCTGTGGCCATTGGACTCGCATTTTGGGCCCGCTTGGATTTCCGTGGGCTCTGGTTCGGACTGCTCTCTGCGCAAGCGGCCTGTCTTGTTCTAATGCTCGCCGTCATCGCCAGCACAGACTGGACACGGCAAGCCGACCGTGCGCAGTGTCTCACCGGCGAGCACAACGTCGTCGCGCACGATTGCAAGCCAATTATTATCAAGATCGAGCAATGCGACTCCTTACTGTTTTAAGCATTTAGGATCTGAATGTTACATTTTGAGGAAATGGATACATAGCAGAAAAGTGGCCCCTTTTTATTTTCAATTTTTGCCGTTTTATTAGAAAGAAATAGAATAGAGATTTTTGAAGAGGCGTTGCTAATTTTGTTGACCTATCGCTATCTGGCTTGTCTTCGGTTCTATGGGCTGCGGTGGGTACGCATAGTCGAAATTGCCGGCCGGCGGGCTTGACTCGTTGGCCGGCTGATTTGGTAACAAGCTTGTGCTGTCGACTACACTGCGGCGAGATTAGATGGGTGCAATCCTTTATGCGAGTCTGGGCCCGCCCGCCCATCTAAGGGAATCCGTGCAATCCTTTATGCGCTTCGAGGTGGCATCCTTCCTCGTCTTATTCACCGTTGGATCCTTCCTCGTCTTACCTGAACTTTGTATAAAACTGTGTAGTTTGGTGTCCTGATGAATAAGTGCATCGTTTTTAAAGTTTGATGTACAAGTTTTCCTAAGTTTATTCTCCCTGCAAACAAAAATAATTAAATATAATCAATTCATTTAACTTTTCATTAACACTCAATCATTTTTCTCATATTCCCCTTTAACTTTATTGACGTGCGAAAATTTGTCAGCTGTTTGGGAACTTCTTTAACGGTTCATTTGGGACAGCTTTCTTTCTACTTCTTTAAGCAGATTTTTAGAACAAAAGCAGCAAGAAAGCTGTCCCAAACGATGCCTAAGTAGGACAATTTTGTTAGATGTCAATAAAATTTTGAATAAAAATTGAACAAGCTAGATGAGAGAACAAATACATTAGAGATTAAAAAGATATATAATATACATTTTTTTTTGTTTTTTTAAATAACATATATATTAATACCCAAAAAACAACATTACAAATACAAAATCCTACCAAGCAGAAGAAAAAAACCAAAAAACTAGTGTAATACAAGCTAAAAGCTAAAATCTAAAAACGGGCTCATATCACAATTGAAGCTTCCAGCGTCCAAGACGTCCCGCACGGACCATCAAGCAAGCAAATCAACACCCACGGTTACCACTAGAAAAACGGCCGGGACGCGAGCCCCAACCACATCATTGCCCTTAGCCTCGCGTAGCAACATATCGAAAATTCAAACCAAAAAATTCCAGCGGATAATAGCATGACGAACAACAAAAAAACACGCCAAATCATCTTCTACGAGTCTACGACGACCTCTCCCCCAAAATTTCCCCCGAGTGGCAATGGAAGAGCGATCCAGGGTAAAATCATTATCCGAGTCATACGATTCAAAATAAACTTCCTCCTCAGACGAATCAATTAACCAGTTATTCTGATTCCTAATCTCCTTGCCCGCAGACTTACCCACACAGTCAGTCATCAATTGTGTATCAACCTGAATAACTGGAATCTCAACAAAACTGTTGAGAATCGGTATACCATCCTTATTACCCAGAGACGGACAAACAGCCTCAATCCCACCCTGATCCACAGCAACAGATACAAAACAATCAGCATAACCTTCCTCATTTTCAAGCAACATAACATTTCCATTAGTATTCACCGCACCCTGAACAGGCAAACCAGCAGAAATATCAACATTCACAGCAACATTATCATCCACCGGCACCAACGAAATAACCGAGGAATCTAAAATCACTTCCTGTCGAACGCACCCATCCAGCACCTCGAGAACAAAAGGTTATGCATAAGGTGATAATAAAAATTCACCCGCAGCAACAGTAACACCGTTACAATTTAAAAGAAA